CAGCCCCCACGGCGGGCCTGGGGCTGGGTCCCAGTTGCTATAGAGATCTGGGGGTCTCCCATTCTCACCTCAGGCTGCTCCCCCCCCACCCCCCAGGAGCACCCAAGGGCCCTAGGCCAGGCCTGGGAGCCCCAGATATGGGTCCAGAGCCTGGCAGAGCTGGCTCAGAGAGGGGCTGGGGCAGGGGTCCCTCGTAAAGACGAGAGCTCCATGTAGGGGGCCGGGGCCGGGGCCGGCTGGGGTCACAGGAGGCTCTGGGCAGGGATATGGGGGTCAGCCAAGCAGAGGTGCAAGAGAGGGGGCTGGCTTGGGCTTATTTGTCGGGGGGGGCCTCCAGGCCCTGCCAACCCCCCACCCTTCGCCTTCATGCCCCCCACAGCCCTCAGCAGGCCCCTCTGCCCTGCCGGGATGGAGCAGCCCCCTCGCAGGTGCAGCCTCCGCCTGCCCCGTGGGGGAGTCTGCGTCTGAGCTCTGGGCCCAGCTGCTGAGACCTTGGGGTGGGCGCCAGGCGGAGGGGCCTGGGCCAGCCTGATAAACCCGTAGGAGCCAGGACTGTGGCGCTCACACAGCCCCGCCTGGCCCGTGGAGCCCCCTGCCACGGGGCCCCGGGGGGTCTGGCCGGACACTTGGGTTCTCTTCCCAGTTCTTGCAGGTTGGGGAGGTCCGGACACCTGGCTAGTTTCCAGGGCAGCTTTCACCTGGTCCAGCTGGACCCCAGTGGGGTAGCTCTGGAGGCTTGCAGCCTGGGCCAGCCCAGGAGGGGTTGATTCCCACCCCCCGACCCTTTTTGCCTGCCTCCTGGGCACAAAACCTGCTTCTACCTCTGGCCCCCACCCTGAGACACCCCTGCCCCCCTGCCTTCTCTCCACTGGAGTCCAGGCCCCACCGGCTGCCTCCCAAAACTCTGGATGTGAACCAGATAGCCTGGCTCCCAGCCCCCGCCCGTCCCTACCCCCTGACCCTCAAGCTGCCCTGTCTGCAAGCAGGAGAGGGGGGGATGTCTCAGAAGGCCCCCAGCCACGGCTTGGGGGAGCCATGCTTTTGCCACAGGGGCCATGGCTGCTGGGGGCCGTGCCTGTCTGCACCCCTCTCCCTGCCTCCCGCAGCGTCCTCGGCCTCCACTCCCTCCGGGCCCCTGTGCATCGCGGGCGCTGTCCTGCTCTTCCTGGGCTGCCTGGCCCTCCTAGGTACACCTGGCCTGGACGAGTGGGGTGCCAGCCCTGCCCTGGGTTGGGGGTGGAGGGGGCACCATGCTGCTATGGGCACTGGGGGGTGCCACAAGGGCGTGGGGCAGTGGTTGCAACCCTGGCTGGGGTGCTGTGGCTCTCTGGCCCCACAGTGCTGGGGATCCCGGTGACCCGTGTCTCCCCTCAGGGCTGTGGCGAGTGAAGGTCTTCTCCATGCTGCTGAGCTGCCGGGCCCGGGGGAAGCATGCCAAGGGGGGCCCAGGCCCCAGCTCTGCCCTCCCCAGGGACCCCCCCAGCCAGGAACTGCCGGCGCTTCACTTCCTACAGGTCTGGGCTGGGGTGGGTTGCCACCGGGGGCTGCCCCTGGGCATCTGTCACCCTCCTCCCCTGGCACCAGTGGGATGGAGAGGGAAGCAGGGCCTTGGCCAGGTCAAGCAGGTTTATAGGCCAGCACTGCCCTAGCCTGGCCCCAGTGCTGTGAGCTTCCCCACAGCAGTGCCCTAGCCTACACTCCTGGCATGGTGAGGTTCGCCACAGCAATGCCCCAGCCTGGCCCCTAGTGCTGCAAGTTTCCCCCCAGCAGTGCCCTGGACTGGACCCCAGCGCTGTGAGCTTCCCCATAGCAGTTCCCTGACTTACACCCTGGCTCTGGGAGCTTCCCCTACAGCAGTGCCCTGTCCTGGCCCCTAGTGCCGTGAGCTTCCCCTCCCCCAGTAGTGTCCTGGCTTGGGTCCGGTGCTGGGAGCTTCCCCTGACCAATGCCCTAGCCTGACCCCCTAGTGCTGCAAGCTTTCCCCCAGCAGTGCCCTGGATTAGACGGGGTCTGTGCCCACAGGTCCTGCAGACCGGGCGCTTCTCGATGGTGTGGCGTGGCTCCCTGCGGGGGGTGCCCGTGGTGATCAAGGCCTTCCCTGCCGCCAGTGACCAGCACTTCGCAGCTGAGTGGGGTGTCCTGAGCCGGCCTCTCATGAACCATGACAACCTGGTCCAGCTCCTGGAGGCCAGGCGGGGGGATGGGCCCAGTAGGCGAGGTGGGCTGCTGGTCATGCCACTCTATGCCCAAGTGAGTCACAGCCTCAAGGCTGGTATTTGGGTTGTATGGGGGGTTGGAGCAGGGGGGCAGCTCTTGGGGCCTGGGGTTGGGGTCCTGGGTCTGTCCCCATCCATCCATCGTGCAGATGAGAGCTGAGTACAGGGGGTTGGGGGCAAGGCTGGGGTTGCAGGGGCGGGATGCCGGGGTCAGCAGGTGTCGGGGGCCAGGCTGCATAGCAGGGGGCTGGAGGCCTCTAGGCACCTGGGAGCTGGGACACCTGGCTTGGAGGGGACAGGGCCTCATGGCCAGAGCAGGAGGCTTGAAGCCAGGACACCTGGGTTCTCATCCCATCTAGGGTGGGAGCGGAGGCAGTGGTTAGAGCACGGGCTTTGATGCTGGGACTCCTGGGTTCCTCCTTCAGCACAGGGAAGGTGGGGGGAGCAGGGGTGTCTCCGGGTGGGGGGGCTCTGTCGGACCTGAGAGCTTTGTACGGGGCAGACAGGGTGGGCGAGCAGGGGGGAAGTGACAGAGAACAGAGTGGGGTCCCAGGCCCTGCCAGTCCCTGGGGGCTGGGAGCAAGAGGGGTCCATCCATCCCCGTCCATCTGTCCATCCGCAGGGCTCCCTGCGGTACTTCCTGGGTCAACATGCCAGCCCCTGGGAGGGCACCGTGCGCCTGGCGCTGTCGCTGGCCTGCGGCCTGGCCTTCCTCCATGACGAGCTGTGGCGTGATGGTGAGACCCCCTCCACCTGCCTGCCCAGCCCCCATGCACCAAGCTTGGCTGAGGGAGGCCCAGGCTTGAGCTGAGCTGGGGGGTCTCTGCCATGCCCCCCCTTCCCCTGGGTGGGGGACTTCTGGCACCCCACTCACCACCTCCCCTGCATTCCCCTGCACGCCCCAGGGTTATACAAGCCAAGCGTGGCCCACCGGGACCTGAGCAGCCAGAATGTGCTGGTGCGGGACGACGGGGCCTGCACCATCGCTGACTTTGGGCTGGCTATAGTGCTGCCCACCAGCCCCGAGGCCTGGCCCAGGGACCGCTCGCCCACCGCCATCAGGAAGGTACCGGGGCTGGCAGAGGGGCCGGGGGGGCGGGACAGGGAGGAGCTCACATGCAAGCCATAGCACTAGCGCGTGCAAGCTGTGATCCAGAGCTGCAAACATGGGCACCAGTGGGTGCAAATCTCAGCCCAGGCATGTGCACACATGGATACTTGCATGTGCCAGCCTCACAGCCGGGGTAGAGCTGCATGTGAGTCCTGGCCCCAGGGTGCACCAGAAGTGACCCCTGGTGCGTATGAGCCTTGTTACTGGGGTGTGCCAGGCTGGTACTTGTGTGTGCAACTTTCAACCCAGCCATGTCCAAATGTGGGCATGCCATGTGTGTGGGGCTGGGCATGTGCATGGGTAAGTGGCTGAGACGTGTGGGTCTGTATTCGTGAGCATGTGGCTAGTGTGTGTGCGCGTACTTGTGTGTGCATGTGCTCATGAGTGTGTGTACTCACTTGTGCATGTGCTCGCAAGTGCCTGGGATGTGCATGTGTTCACGAGAGCCTGACACGTGCGTGTGCTCATATCTGCATGTGCTCATGAGAGCCTGGCATGTCCATGCACTTACACGTGTACACGCTCATGAGAGCCTGACGCATGTGTGTGTGCACTCACGTGCACATGTGCTCACGAGAACCTGCGTGTGTGCATGACAGCCCGCATGTGCATGATCTCACATGCGTGTGCACTCACAAGAGGCTGGCATGCCCAGACACTTATATACACACATCCCGGCACTTACAAGTGTGTGCGCTCATGAGAGCCCAGTGCATGTGTGCGCTCATGCGCGCGTGCTCCGGCAGCTGGGGACACAGCGATACATGGCCCCCGAGATCCTGGACGAGAGCCTGGACCTGCGGCGCTGGGGCTGTGCGCTGAAGCAGGCCGACGTCTATGCGTTTGCCCTGGTGCTCTGGGAGATCCTCATGCGCTGCCCTGCGCTCTTCCCAGGTGAGGGCCCCGGGTTCAAGCCTCCAATTTGCACCCGGGCACAGGCCCCAGAGGAAACTGGGGACACCAGGGGAAACTGAGGCAGGTGGGGGCAGGCACCAGGGGAACAGCACCCACACTCGCCCCTTGCCCCCCCAGCCCGGGGGGTGCAGTCAGGACCAGTGGGGGGGGAGGGGAAGGAGCCCCTGAGTTGGGAGCAGGGGGCATTGCCCAGCCTGGGGGTCATCTAGGGCTGGGCAGCCCCAGGGCTGCTTTACATAGCATCGTGCCCCCCACTCCCCGGGCACCTAGGCCATGCCCGTAATGCAGTGGACTGTGACATTAGCAGATCTCAGGGGGCACGTACAGTGCCCAGGGTGGGGCTGGCGGGAGAATCGGCTCCTTCCCTTGGCTGTGCCCCCCCCCAGGCTGCAGCGTCCCTGAGTTTCGGCTGGCCTACGAGGCGGAGCTGGGCAGCAGCCCCAGCCCCACGGCGCTGCGGAGGCTGGCGGTGGAGCAGCAGCGGAGGCCAGCCATCCCGCAGGCCTGGATGGGCACCAGAGGGGTAAGGGGAACAAGGGGGGGGTACAGGGGCTACACCCCTCCATTACAAGGTTGAGACCCAGGGCGGCCCCTGATGCCCCCCTGTCCTCTGCCAGGTCCCTGGCTGCCTGCAGGAGCTGCTGGAGGACTGCTGGGACCCCGACCCCGAAGCCCGGCTGACGGCCAAGTGCGCCCACCAGCGCCTGCAGCAGCTGGGGCCGGAGCCTCCCTTAGGGGGGCCCTGAGCCAGCTGGGCACCCGGACGCGAGGCCGAAGACGGTTCCTTATTTCCACATCCCTTTTCACCGCTCATCCTTGCCACCTTGAGGACGGCGGCAATGACCGGGGCGAGCTGAAGGCTCCGGGTTTCATCCGCGACGCGCCTTTGCTAATAAAAGTGTGTGATCAAGTCACCCAGCGAGTGCCCCGGCTTGAATGAAGGGCTGAGACTGCCCCCGGCACCCGGGTTGGAGCCCCCCCGAGTGGGCACCTGCAGAGACCCAGTGGCCCCAGCGCTGCCGGGAGCAATTAATTCATCGGTGCTCAGCTGAGCCGGGCAGGGCCTGGTGTTGCCCCCTGCGCCCCCCAGGCCTGGCAGGGGAAACTGCCAGGGCCCCCAAGGGAAGCTGAGGCAGGCGGGAGCAGACACCAGGGAAACTGAGGCAGGCAGTGACGGACACCAGGGGAAACTGAGGCAGGCGGAAGTGGACACCAGGGGAAACTGAGGCAGGCTGTGGTGGACATCAGCTGAGCCGGGCAGGGCCTGGTGTTGCCCCCTGCGCCCCCCAGGCCTGGCAGGGGAAACTGCCAGGGCCCCCAAGGGAAGCTGAGGCAGGCGGGAGCAGACACCAGGGAAACTGAGGCAGGCAGTGACGGACACCAGGGGAAACTGAGGCAGGCGGAAGTGGACACCAGGGGAAACTGAGGCAGGCTGTGGTGGACACCAGGGGAAACTGAGGCAGGCGGGGGAGGACCCGAGGGGAAACTGAGGCAGGCGGGGGGGGACACCAGGGAAAACTGAGGCAGGCGGGGGAGGACC